ATCTGTGTAGAGAGCTTGCACGCTGATCAGCTTATCAGTGGTTTGCGTAGCCATGGTGTAGCCAGTCAAGTTGGAGATGGTCTGATTGATCAGCGATTCTGGACTGTTGATGCTTGCGTCCGGCCACGCTTGTTCGGCGGTCAGGTTGACGATCTTTCCAACGGTGTATGCGTAGTCGCCGCGTGTGTAGCAGGCAAACAAATTGCTCTTTTGTCCTCCTTCTTGCGCATAGACCGCTAGTCCGATGGGCCACTGGTCGTTGTAGAGATGCACAATCTCAGCCACGGGTCCGTACCTTCCATCGTCGAAGTAGAGTGCAGGCACGGAAAACCCGCCCCCAGCAGTACCTCCAGTGATGCCATCTGGAGCTACTGACGAGCTTGGTGATGGGAACGACTGACCAGAGGTCTGACTGGCGTTTCCTGGCGCTGAAAGTGTCGGATTGGAGGTCTGTGCAGCTGCGAGAGCCAAGCAGCTGGCCAGGTAGCAGAGAGGTGTCAGCAGCATCTTGGAGCTGTGAAAGTCGGCGTTTGTTGCGGTGGCTCGGAACGGTCAAGGGAGCAAATAAGGGAGCAAATAAGCATTTGGCGGTTCGAAGGAGTGAGGCTACGTCGTCTGAAGGCCATCATATCATCTCTTTGCGTTAGCAGTGGAAGGGGTTCTGCTGGGCTACAGGGAAGCCAGCTACAAATCGATATTCTATAAGCAGAGGCAGATGCCTGGTTGGCTGCCCTTGGATGGTCAATCAAGGGTCATGAATTGTGGATGTGGAGGGATGCAGAACCGATTTAGGAGAGTCGACCGCGGGCAAACCGCAGATCTGACGCTAATATATTGATCTCCTCCGCCGGTTCGGCAGAGCTGCCAATTTGGCGTCACGTGAAACTTTGCTTCCATCACCACGCAGAATTGAATGCAGTCAGAGTCAAAAGTCAGAAGAGAAGAGTCTTTCTTCGATGCAGACGAATGAGGTTCAGAAGGCACATAAGCAAGCCTTCTCGAGTCCTGGAGTGCGCTCAGTCACCGATATCGCTTGGCGAAGGGATCATGATGACTTGCGATGCAGGAGCCTTTCGCCGCGCTCTTGCGCCCGAATGCCACAAGCCGAACAAGTTCTGGGCCGCGTCTGAAGACGAGAGTCAAGATCCATGGGCGGTGTGACGACTGACGACGAAGTTGACGACGTACCAAGGTGAAGGACGGGTGTTGTCCGCCATTCAAACTTGTTCTCTTCAGCGTCCGCGCGCTGGTCTGGGAAAAGCGTGCTGCTTCAGAGATGCGCACATGTGATGTGTAATAATATGTCTCGCTTGTTGACGTGGAAGCAAAGATCACGAAATTGAATGCCGTCCAGGCGCTGCTGCATCATATACCGGGTACTTGCTCACACTCATGACTCGCGACTCACACCACTCACCACTCACCACTCACCACTCACCACTCACCACTTTCAGCGTTCAGATCGCGATCGAGCGCCGAGGAGACCCAAAGCATCTGCGGTCAAGCATCGCGTTCAGATTGTAATCTTCTCGATCAAGTGCTTCACTCTCCCTTCCTCGCAGACTCGTGACTTGGGCGCCCGATTCGATGGCTTTGGCGGACTTGCAAGAGGGCAATTAAGCGTGCATGATGCCGAGACGAGCTTAGGGGATTGCGCGACGTGGAATCACGACTGTGTCTGCTGCGCGAGCGCATCTTTTGAGCTATGTACAGAGTACCGGTACGTGCACTCAAGACCGACGAGCTGCAGTCATAGTCGAGAAGCCTCTTCGTCTTGACTTGCATTCAGATTCATGGATGCATGCAGATGGATGGACCACATCTTGGCCGCTGCTGCCGTTTACAGTCCGATCGTGACAGCACCCAAGCCACCGAACAATACGCGTACCGTACCATC